GAGTCGCGGAGAACCTAACGGGTAACCGGGGCTCCGGCTCGACGTGCAGGAGAAGGAACGGGGTGGTTTTTAGTCAGTAAGAGTCTGACACTCCCTTCCGCCTCACCCAGGCGGGAGCAGTCATTCGATGATATTCCCCCCTTAAAAAAAACCTTTCGCTTCGTCAACAGTCATCAGTCTTTTCATGTATGCTCGTCGGTTAAGAGTCCTTGTAACTTGGCCCTTCTTTAATATATCACCATTCCGGTCAGTATAGGGCGCCCTCTACCGACAGCCCCATTCATACCCGCTCTGTATACTTCTTTCGTCCATCCTTTCTACATGTCCAAAGTTCCAAACCAGTGTAACATACTTGACAACATATATCCTTGTTACTTACATCTTCTTTCAATTGAATCTACACCTTTCTCTTAAAATTACTATTTTTCACTCGATCATTTAATTTTACTCCATACATACTTCTCAGGGCTCTCATTTCCACCACATCAATCCTACTCTCATGCTTTTTCTGCCACACCCATATTGTATGATTCACTAGCACTACCATACACAGTACCGTCTTTACCAGGGGCTCCTAAGGACTGAGAATTTCTACAACCGACACACATCCGCAAGTCCGCAACACGTTGCACGGCAGCCGGTTACCGTGTTCGATTTCCGCATGGATCTTTGAATGATCCACAAATTATGGTTTCGGGTCTGGGTGTCATGAGTTATGTGAATTCGTATGTTTGTAAACGCACTCACGATATAGGAGAAAAACTTGTGTGGGCTACGTAAAAAAAACCTCAGGAAAAGGGCCTCGAATCATTGTGTGCCCAAGGGCCGCAGCGTAGTCTAAGAAGGCCATGACTATACTATACATAAGCGTTAGTGTCAATACACACTGCATCACAGCAAGTGGAGCTTTGCTGGATATTATTTTACTCGGCATTACAGAGTGTTAGGCACCATTGACACTATTTCCCGCATTCACTCCTTTCAATATCCCTGTCACACTTTCCATTTCTCGTAAATAGTGATCCCAGATAAACAAACTCATTCACTTGTTCTAATTTTTCATCACCTATCATTACTGTTATCACCTCATTCCTTTCTATCACCAACACTTTTGTCTTCTTCTCATTAACTTTCATACCTTTCCTTTCAAATGCATCATTCATCACAGTGATCATTAGGTGTAGGTAATACTTTGGCAGACGAGGCAATAAGTACACACCTGGTCGTCAACGTACAACCAAGTTTTAATCACTACTACACTCTCCTACTTTCAAATCGTTCAGAGAGCCGTCCATGAATAAGTTGAATAGCCAAGGAGATGCTATACAGCCTTGTCTAACACGAACACCTCGATTAATGTTAAACCACTCTGTGTAGGCCACATTTATCCTGACACTGGCACTCGAGTCCTTATATATGGATTTAAGTGCCCGAATCAGGTGGCTATCTACCTCATACCTACATGGATAGAGTTGACCACAACTCATCTCACCACCACCACCATTTTAAATATCTACCTATGTATTTTTATACCACTCCATCACAGTCATTTTTATTTCATTCAAACTATACCCTGCCTATACCAACTGGATTAAGACGAGAGTTAAGGTAACCCAAGATTTATACGCTTATAAATTCGAGAAATAAAACGTATGATTCAGATAAACCATTCAGCTGCTAAAGGAAGACTGCGTCTGTTTGGGGAGAAAGTGCGAAATAGTAATGTGTAAAGGTGCCAATCTCAGGTTTTTTAAAGCAGAAAGAGAAAAGTAGCCTCAAATTATGACTAGAATTGAACTCCAGATCGAATACCAACGTACCTAGAGCTAATGCCCAGCCAGGGCTACGGACCTTGCATTTTATTAACCCTTTAACCGCCAAGATTCTGAACTTTCAACTTACCTCCAGCGCCACGTCACTTTAGGTATAAGTTGGAACAGTGTTGGAAACACTTAATATCGATGCATATATTCTTTAATCATTAAAAAATTAAAATCAATGTTTTATTTACCTACTTAATAAATAATCTAAAAATTTTCAATCTTCAAACGAAGTATACGAAAATGTGTATTCGGGAAATGGACACGGCGTCTTCCGTTCTCCTGCTGGCGACGGTGACGATGCTCCACGAGCATGTCGTATTTAATTTAATATTTTCATGTAAACTTCTGAGCGGATTTCCGACAGTACGGTTTCCAGCTCAAAAGGTTTTAAAGATGCAAAGTATTCATTTCGTGGATCACTTGGTCTCTGATCAAAAACTTTGCGTCACCATCTTCTAACTTTGCATAATGGACACATTTGGTTTTGACTGTGTTGATTTATTTGAGAAATAACAAAAACCCAAAAAAGGGTTTACAACACTAGTTGCATTGAGTGATAAATGTTTAACGTGATTTTACGGTGACGGCGCTAAGGCAACTCACAATACAGCGCTTTAATCTCCTTGGCCGCACGTAATATTACGGTGATGGCGACCGGCGATTGTCCGCACTAGTGCGGTTCTGCGTTATGAAATTTTTATATTATTGTTATAAATATTAAATAATTTTAAACTTAAATACATTTTAATTAGTACAAATACTTGCATCAAAGTAACACTATGGTTATTTTCTAATGAAAGTATACACTTTCATTGCAAATAGTGACAGTAATATCTATAGTGCCTTGTTTGTTCTTAGACAACCTATTAAGTATTTTTCGAATTCGCCCCATCCCTAGTACTCGTAAAATTACGTGATTGGCGATACAGATAATGGAGACGGTGACCACAATTTAATTAAACCTCAAATTTCACAGTATTTATCACTCAAAACATTGAGAAATATCCATAACAATAAAGATTATACCCTACATCTTGAAATTGACACATTTTATATGGAGTTTGTGCACTATAAGAAGATTTTTAATAAAATAACGTGATTGTACGTATGTGGCGATTCGGACACAGCTTTCGAAAACCGTAATATTACGTTGTCGGCGGTTAAAGGGTTAAGATTATAACACTCTCTCGCGGTCTCGCCCCATCCTAGGCGCGGGAGAGGTTCTTGTATCAGAATGATTTTCCTCCTTTAAAAAAGGCACTTAGTAGGTAGGTAGTCAGTGATACATACTACCAACACTGTCTGTTAGTAATTAGAACTTAATTAGTAATGAGAAAATTAGTTTTACTGAAGAATTCTGAACTTACATAATAATAATTTCTATGCAAGTAGATATGTCGATACTTACTAATTTCAGTATTCTGGAGACAAATCAAACAACACTCCTAGGATAAGTTCATATTATGGCTATGCTAGGCATAGTATCTTACAAAACAATTAGGTAGTCTTCATGATACGTCATAGTTATGTAAAAAATTATAGGCCAGGGCCAACCAATGTAAAAAATTGGCACAATACCAAACTAGTTTAACATTATTTTGAAAAATCTAGTATATGGCATAATTTATTTTTTATTTATTTAACTTTATGCAACAAGAGTACATAGGCGTGCTTAATGCCATGGGCATTCTTACTAGCCAACCTTTAGGTGATGCAGTGAGAGCGTGGTCGGTGCAATAAGTTGACAACGATGTACACCTCTATAATAATGTGCACCTCTGCCTACCCTTTCGAGGATAAAAGGCGTGATGTTATGTTATGCCTTTGATTTTGTCGCGGAGAACCTAACGGGTAACCGGGGCTCCGGCTCGACGTGCAGGAGAAGGAACGGGGTGGTTTTTAGTCAGTAAGAGTCTGACACTTCCTCCCGCCTCATCCAGGCGGGAGCAGTCATTCGATGATTTTCCCCCCTTAAAAAAAAAAAAAATGCCTTTGATTTTTGTTGCGCTGTGAAGACTAAGGGGGTTACCATATCCCATTCTCAAGTTTACCTACCTATTAAGAATTTGGAGATTTTAACCCTCGAATCTTAATATAGATCAGGGAAATGTATTTACAATTTTTGATCTAGTAGGTAACTCATTAGAGACAGGGATAGTAGAATATTGCACCTGCGGTTTTCAACACCTTACAGAATGCCTTTTATTATGGGACACACAGGAATTAAATCTTGACAGTAGTTATGTAACACTAAAAATGAAACAAAAAATAAGTTACAAATTTTTACATACTGGTAAAGAATGTTTATCTACAATATATCTGCTTGTTGTTTACATAATTTATTGTATGCATAAGCAATCACTTATTAATGGAAACACTAAAAACTAAGTTCATTTACGACTTGGCTAGGGTCTCGGCCTTAGCAACAACTTCCTCAATAGGTCCAACCATGTAGAATGCTACTTCAGGTAGGTGATCATACTCGCCCTGCAGGATTTTAGAAAAGCCCTTGATGGTTTCCTCAAGGGGCACCAGTTTGCCAGCGTGTCCAGTGAATACCTCTGCAACCTGGAAAGGCTGGGACAAGAACCTCTGGATCTTACGGGCGCGAGCGACAGTCAGCTTGTCTTCCTCAGACAACTCTTCCATACCCAGGATAGCGATGATGTCCTGGAGTGACTTGTAGTCCTGAAGGATCTTCTGGACACCACGAGCCACATTGTAGTGCTCAGCACCAATAATGTTGGGGTCCATGATACGGGAAGTAGAGTCGAGAGGGTCCACGGCGGGGTAGATACCCAGCTCAGCAATAGCACGGGACAGTACAGTGGTGGCGTCCAAGTGAGCGAAGGTGGTGGCAGGGGCAGGGTCAGTCAAGTCATCAGCGGGCACGTAGATAGCCTGCACGGAGGTGATGGATCCCTTCTTGGTGGTGGTAATACGCTCCTGCATGGTACCCATGTCAGTGGCCAGGGTTGGTTGGTAACCTACAGCAGAGGGAATACGACCCAGCAGGGCAGACACTTCAGAACCAGCCTGGGTGAAACGGAAAATGTTGTCAATGAACAGCAGCACATCCTGACCTTCCTGATCACGGAAGTATTCAGCCACGGTAAGACCAGTTAGAGCAACACGGGCACGCGCGCCTGGGGGCTCGTTCATCTGACCGTATACAAGTGCTACCTTTGAGGTCTTGTCCTTCAGGGATATTACTCCGGACTCAATCATCTCATGGTACAAGTCATTGCCCTCACGGGTACGCTCACCTACTCCAGCGAATACTGAGTAACCACCGTGCGCCTTAGCGACGTTGTTGATTAGCTCCATGATAAGTACTGTCTTACCGACTCCGGCACCTCCGAACAGACCGATCTTACCTCCCTTGGCGTAGGGGGCGAGCAGGTCGACGACCTTGATACCAGTGACCAGAATCTCTTGCTGCACGGACATGTCCACGAACTCGGGCGCCTCAGCGTGGATAGCGGCAGTCTTGTCAGTGGGGATGGGGCCGCGCTCGTCGATGGGCTCTCCGATTACGTTGATGATGCGGCCGAGGGTCTCAGCGCCCACGGGGATACGAATGGGCGAGCCGCAGTCGAGGACGGGCTGGCCACGAACCAGACCCTCGGTACCGTCCATAGCGATGGTACGGACGGTGTTCTCTCCCAAGTGCTGTGCCACCTCCAGCACAAGCCGGGGTTGACGGTTTTGTACTTCAAGGGCATTTAGAATGGGTGGTAGGTTGTCTTCGAACTGTACGTCCACAACGGCACCAATAACAGCTACCACCTTACCTTGTCCCTTTCCTGCAGCTGCTGCATAATCACGTTTGTTCACCACGGGCGCTGCAACTAAGGGTGCCTTGTCGGAACTATTATTTACTACCGTCCTTGTGGCCAAACGGCCGGCCCTGCAGACGGTAGAGAACATTTTCGTTTAGAAGAATCGATCGAATAAATGCACAGTAGATGGTCGGAGAGGTCACGAAAGAGGTTCGGCCGGACTCTTTACGTAACAATTCGACGTTCAGAAATCGGAAAGATAGGTGATTACGGCACTGCCGTATCCGGACATACAGATTAAAAATTTTTAATAAAATTTGCTCTCAAACTCTCATCTCGATAACTTACCGGTTATAGTTCGAAAAAAAAAATTAGTTAATATAGAAAATAATAAATTTCTGATTTATAAAGAGTATAATTTTAAATTATAAAGTCCTAGAATTCTAAAAGAAAAAGATTTTTTAATACAATAACAGTCGTTTACAAATAGTTATTTTTGGTACACATTTTATCAATAATATTATACTGAAGACTTCCTGAAAACTATTATGGAAAGAAATACAATATTAGAATATTACATTTCGAAAACTTACCTCTTCACCACATTTTAATCTATTTAACTCATCGAGTACCGGTTTTGTAGACACAATTATAGAACATTATGTTGCGGTCTCCGGTGACCACTTGGTGTTTGACAGTTTAATGATGACATTGATAATTATATGACATTATGACATTGACGGTGACAGTTTTATTTTGTGTCATGTGTTGATGGTGTGTGGAATTGGAATCCAACTAATCCAAGTGGGAATTGAAGTTTGAAACAGCGTGTTGGCTTAAAATATTTTGATATACTTTAACTTTGATTTAATTATAACAGGAATTCTAAAAGTAGGTATTTAAAAATGGAATACATTACTCCTGAAAACGAAATTGCGCTTAGCGGAGCACGAATGTAAGTTGTTTTTAGGTTACTTTAATAATGTTTCATTACTATTGCGAAATTCGCAATAATTACATGGTAACAATTAATATTTTTGCTCTATAACGCACCATCAACTGCGGCCACGTAGGGAAATCAATGAAATAATTTTATAAGCAAGTACTGCCATTTTATTATTTTAAAATTTTCAGATTATGTTGTCAATGTGCTGTGCCTATAGAGCCAAATCCTTCCAATATGTGTGTAGCTTGCTTGCGGGCAAATATAGACATTTCAGAAGGCATACCAAAACAAGCAACTCTCTTCTTCTGCCGGGGATGTGAAAGGTAAACCAAGTTTTTTTTCATATAAAGCAGTATCATTAAGTAAATAAAGATCTAATTGTGGTCAATAAAGAATTTGTGTACCGACCTTTTTTTTGCCAATTGGTCATGTAATACCTATGTGTCATATTGGTAAAATAAAAATGCTGTATGTGTTCTATAATAATATTATTAAACTGTCAAAAATACCAAGCGGTCACCGGTGACCGCAACCTATTGTTCTATAATTGTGTCTACAAAACCGGTACTCGACGAGTTAATAGTTTTTCTCAATGACTTGAATACCTGTTTCAGATATCTACAACCACCAGCAGAATGGGTGGTTGCTGCCCTGGAGTCCCGTGAGCTTCTTGCTCTATGCTTAAAGAAACTAAAAGGCTTGAACAGAGTCAAGCTAATTGATGCAGGATTTGCGTGGACTGAACCACATTCTAAGAGAATAAAGGTATTGTTAATGATTTGCTTAAAATATTTATGTTGTAACATAATATTGTGCAATACTAAGTTTTTTGTTTTTGTCTACTTACGTTAGGACCTTTTTTAAATGGTACAATGTTACCAATTGGATCTTGAAATATAAATAAAAATGAATTATCAAAATTTTGCATTCCCATACTTTCAAAAGACTTCACCAAATTATAGTATTCATTTGTTTATGTTTGTTATTGTTAGGACTATTTGTGTATAAAATTACAGATATATTTATGTACTAGGAAAATCAGCACCTGTGTAAAGCAGATAGTTAGTTAACTCGTCGAGTACCGTCATTATTGACACAATTATAGAAAAATAGGTTGCGGTCACCGGTGACCGCTTGGTGTTTGACAGTTTAAATATGGTAATATATCATACCCATATTTGTTTATACAAAAGTAGTCTCTAAAAATCAGAAATAAGGTCTATAATAGAGTTAGTAAAGAGCAGTCACAGGTGGTCACTTGGGGATTGAGTAGTTAATTTATAATATTTTGTTTAAATTAATGTTTACATTATTTTTTCTTAATTTACAGGTCAAACTAACAGTCCAGGGTGAGGTGATGGGTGGAGCAGTACTTCAACAGACTTTCATTGTTGAGTTCACAGTACAGCACCAGATGTGTGATGCCTGCCACCGTTCTGAAGCCCAGGACTACTGGCGCGCTCTAGTACAAGTCAGACAACGAGCCAATAACAGGAAGACTTTCTACTACTTAGAGCAGCTCATTTTGAAACATAAGGCTCATGAAAATACTCTTGGAATTAAACCTAAACATGGTAAGCGAAAGACTTGTGAAGATCTTTTTCTTGCATAACATTGTCTCATTCCTATTATTTCTTTAATGTTTGTTAATGTAGAATGTGAATTTAATTCAATATTCATACATATCTAACAGTAATTTACTTATTCCTGTAAAAAGAATGTTTTGCTATGAAAGCCTGTACAAGTGTTTCCTTTAAACTGTCAAACACCAAGCGGTCACCGGTGACCGCAACCTATTGTTCTATAATTGTGTCTACAAAGACAGTACTCTACGAGTTAATCAATTTTTGTGGTTAAATTTTCAGATGGATTAGATTTCTTCTATGCAACAGAGAATCATGCGCGCAAAATGGTGGATTTCATACAATCCGTGTTGCCAATAAAATGCCAACATTCCAAGAAGCTGATATCACATGACATTCACAGTAATATTTACAACTATAAGTTCACTTTTAGTATTGAGATTGTGCCGTTGTCCAAGGACAGTGTTGTGTGCCTGCCTAAGAAGTTAACACAGCAACTTGGCGCCATTTCACCCATCTGTTTGGTGAACAGAGTGACAAGTGCCATACATCTGATTGATGCCAGAACTGGTCAAGGTAATTTGATAAGATTAGATCATTTTATGGAATATCTTAGTAGAAGGAGCATTGGTTGTTGCAAACTTAGACTTATGTATAACTAGCTGACCCGGCAAACTTCGTACCGCCTAAAAGTTTTTTCTCTCACCTTTTAAACCTTCCCTAGACTTCCACGAACCTATCAAGACCAAAATTAGCCAAATCGGTTCAACCGTTCTCGAGTTTTAGTGAGACTTACGAACAGAAATTCATTTTTATTTATATAGATTAATTTGAATTGAAAAGGTCTAGTAATTGTCTATACCTCGACACGAAAATTGTGTTTAAATTAAACAACCAAGTACATTCAATAGAATAATAAAATAATAATGTTAATAGTATAAGTCCTAACATAATGAAATAGAATTATTTTCTTTCAGTTTGTGATGTGTCAGCTACAGTGTACTGGAGAAATCCATTCCAACCAATATGTAATCCGAAACAACTAGTGGAATATATTGTTATGGACATTGATATATTGAAGGAACATGTAAGTTAATTTTTTTTATATATATATTATGATTTATATTGATTTAGGCAGATGTGGCGATGTTAAAACGTAACGCCCACCTTTCTGTAGTTATTTCATGCATGAATTCCATAAGACAGGAGACAATTTATTACCTATATATTATGACAATTTCTAAGTTCAATCTGACCTTGCTTGGAAATCATTCAAGCATTTTATCATAATCATCATCACTGCTCAACAAAGACTTCTCCTTTACCTTAAGCAGTTATTGGTATCTTAAAATTCTACTAATATTATGAATGCAAACATTTGTGTTTCTTAATCTTTCATGTCAATATGGGTGAAGGGATTAAGATGAAATTACGAACAGGGGTAGATTGCAGTTTGGAATAACACATAAGCTATTTTTTGTCCTATCGGACGCGGGCGAAGCCGCTGTCAGAAGCTAGTCTTTGATAAAATCTTGTTATAGGATTAATTGTAATGACCACACCAATCCTTATTAACATATCTTGTATGCATTTCTTTAAGTTTTTACTAACTTTACAGGAAAAGAAATCATTCCCTGGCCAAGGTATGGTGTCTAATAAACATGTGGTAGCAGATGTGTGGGTTGTCAAGGCAAGTGAACTCGGCTTAGACATTAGCCCTGTCCACACTAGAACACATCTAGGACACATTTTGAAGCCTGGCGATACGGTTTTAGGGTAAGGCATTTCTTTTATACCTACTTTTTTACAAAGATAATTTTCTATAGACAAACCCTGGTCCTGGGTCTGCAGAGTTAGTTAAACTAAACTCAGAGCAGCACTTTTTGTCTATTATTGACTGGTATCTCTATCTCTCTATGTCATTTTTAGTTCTTAAGGTTGCAAGGAACTTATATGTCAATTGATACGATGTCAAGAAGGCTCGCAATTTTTTATGGACATCCCCCTTTTTAGTCATATTTTTCTGTTTTGATGTTCCGTTGGGAATTAACACTAGTGCTAAGTAGGGACAGGTCATTAGTTCGTTATAAACTGTACCCCAATTATAAAAAAATATATTTTTGTATCTTTTAGCTACAACATCGGTGATTCAAACGTGAACGACGCGAACTTTGACAAATTGGACCGCAGTGTGATTCCTGACGTGTTCTTGGTGAAGAAGTTTTACGGTGAGAAGTCTGCTAGAAGGCGCGCACGCGCATGGAAACTCAAACACATGGCTGAAGAACTACATGAAGGACTCAGTTCTACTAATGAGTGAGTAATTTTTAAGTACTTAAGAGTAAAAAAAAGTCTCGAGTAACTTTCTACCGATAATGACTCACCTATAAGTTCATGGGATTTATAACACATAACTACTATATGTAGCTTTTAGCTCGCAACTTGGGCCGCGTGGTCTAGGAAAAAAAATAGTGAAGTATCGCCTGCAATCCTAACTATCTCAAGTCACACAAAACATATATATTAAAAAAGGATCACTGCAATGTAAAAGAAATAAAACAGTTATAATATTAGTAAGAGCCGACGAAACGTGGGTTTTACTAAAATGCAGAACTATAGAAGTGAGCTCGAACGCATTCTCGTTCGTCATTGGTCGAGATCATTCTCACAACAAAACTCACAACCAATGACTGCGATCGAGTTCACTTCGCTCTTTCAAAATGAAAGTTACATAATAGCTTCGCTGAGGGAAATAAAAAACGTAGTTTTATATTATGTAAGATTCTATAAAATAAGCCACGATACCATATCATACAACTAGCATTTGTCCCATTTAGAGCTTCAAGTTCATAACTACGTATTTTAAATTTCTAATCTGGTCATTTCCATTGAATAGAGGCGGGCGTATCTTTATATCTGACGTAATCACGTAACACAAATACGTTTCAATGATCAAAACGATTTGAACCATAGGGTAAAGGTATAAAGTTTACATTAGACTAAACCTAAGCATATTTTGCAATAGAATCTAAGGTTTGAAATGTTTTTAAAACTAAATTTGCCGCGGCTTCGTAAAATAGACATCCCGAATAGAAATAAAATTAACTTCGTGTGACTTAGTTCTATCCGAAGCTTATCGATAATCATTATTATCTTTCTCTTTCTTATCACATATTTGCTTCCTCTGAGTAAATATTATCTACCATAAGTGGGCCCTTGACATAGTCCTGTCATAGAGGTTTCGTCATGATTACCCCACATTTTCTTTTAAGTGGAAAGTATATACTGAAATGAAATGATAATAAAAATGTTGGTAATCTATCGCAATAGTTGTTTTTACGAACAAACATATTATGTTGATTGATATTCCAAGTTTGAATTGACTAATGTTTAAAAAAATAAAGTCTGAGGTTAATCTTAACATACGTATTAGGTACTTTTATCTTTGTAAGAGGCAATCAATTATCATCAAAATGTAACGTGTGAAAGAAACATGTCGATGACTGATGCAATCGCAATAATTACTCGATCTGCAATAAGATTAATCAAATATTAAATCGACCATCTAAATATAATATGTTTATAAATAACAATATTTTTCCTGTTTATAAACCTATCAATGACAAAGGTTTTGCTTATTTTACCAGGATATGAAGCAACCTTTGTGTTATTCCAGACTTTAGACTAGACTGTTAAGATTGTTAAAACTAGACTTTTAAGTGTGGGAGAACCATGCTTCGGCACGAATGGGCCGGCTCGACCGGAGTGATACCACGGCCTCACAGAAAACCGACGTGAAGCAACGCTTACGTTGTGTCTAGTTACCCTCCCCTTCCCCAATCTCCCCAATTCCTGAATCCCCAACGATCCTCAAACTCCTAATCCCCAAAAGGCCGGTAACGCACTTGTAACGCCTCTGGTGTTCCAGGTGTCAATTGGCGACGCCGATTGCTTACCATCAGGTGATACGTCTGCTCGTTTACAGACTTAGGCCATAAAATATCATACCATAATTTATCATACCATAATTTATCATCGCACCGCTCGTCATCGACAGGGGGTTCACTCTCACTCATTGGAGCCAAAATGGTCCCGTACAGTTCGGTTTCAGAGGAATTTTCTCCCACGGACCCTCCGATTGTGGAATGAGCTCCCTGCCGTGGTTTTCCCAGTGGGCTACAACTTGAGGTTCTTCAAGAGGGCGGTGAATAGGTTTTTTAAGGGTCGGCAAGACTGCCACCGTCGTGGTATAAAAAAAAAATAAAAAAAAAACTATCTGTGAGCCAAATTTCATAACCCTGTCTGTATTTTTACGTGAGAGCAGGCCAGCAGGTCAACTGATTCTAATCTGTAATTTATTCATTGGATTTTCGACTTTATACCAAAAACAATAAAGTTAAAATCTAACAAAGTTTGACAAAGGATGTTGACCTACTGGTCATTGATATACATTCACAAACTTTCTCATTTAGGTATAACATCATAGAAACAAAAACTAATTATAATAATTCTTTCTACAGGGATTACAATGACTTCTTGGATGATTTAGAAGAGGACCCAGCGTTCAGGCAGAACGTTAATATATTCAAGGACGAGAACAAAATACCGGTTGACACTGACGAGATTGATCCTTCATTGCCTCGCATCACTCTCGCCGAAATGTTAGACGATATGGTCATTGAAGATGTTGACATGACCGAAGTTTAAAACTAAATAATTTTCATTTAAGTTATTCGTAAGATCTTGTTTTCATACAATAAAATATGTTTATTTTTATATACTGTTTGATTTCTTTCGTATTTAATTGAAAAGCCAAGGTTTGTTTAGATAACAATTTATAAACTAGTGTGAATTTTGCAATCAAAAATAACGAATTGTTTTTCATATTAGATATGAACTTAAAACCTTGACTCGTTCTTAACTATTTGAGACAGCTGTATAGACTATAGAATGTTATCGTAGGGAATTTGTATTTCGAAAATACAAAGGCGATAATCTTTTGTAAGCGATATGTACGATAGTAGTACCTAATCAAGATAATATTGTTATTAACACATAATTATAATTAGTGAATGTTTGGCGCATGTGTTGTGGTTTGTGTACTTTGGAAGTCGACGTGATGTCCTGTCTACTTTAATCCTTTCTAATGTAATATTCGTAGATAATAGACAGGATGTACTTATTATTTTTAGGGAATTAAATAATTTACTACCAAGCATTCTAAATGAAATAAAATAAGAAATAATACATATTATAACTTAGGTCAGCAAAACTGGTCAGTTCTCACTAGTTCACACTTATCTATTGAGAAAACATATTTCACGAACGTGAATTTAAGATAATGGTGATTGATAGCGGATTTTCTATCGCTGCTTACGTATCTACGTTGCGTGTGCGTATAAACCACGTTCGAGTTTGAATAAAACCACACGTGGGGAGGCTGATTAGGTGCATGACTATAGAACTTATTTGACATACACGAACACGCTAAAACCAGATCAAGTCCACGGATATTGATAAATAAACAAATACTTGCATTATCTATTGAAAACGACGTCTGTAGCCCGCATTAATGTAATAAACTTTGATGTTTGAAAAATGACAACAATTTCGATTGCTGGTCGCACGTGCTCGGTATCTGGTTTATCTATATAAAGGTGGGACACTCGTTTATCATTCATTGTTGTACAATCAAGCAAGCAAGATGAGGGTTCTAGTATTTGTAGTAACATTATTAACGTCGTCCTTAGCAACACAGTTGTCTATAGGTATGGTGTCAAAATATACATAATAATAAATAAATAATTAAACATAAGTGTAATATAAATAAAGTGTATAAATAAATGTTCGTGTTTTAGACGAAATAGAGGAATTGTTTAGGAAGAGAGTAAGGAATGAATTGTCCGAATTAGAATCTCAAAAAGTGGATGATTTGATGGAGTTGTTCCGCCGCCAAGATTATTTATCCAAAATGACGGAAAATGAACGGAGCAGTAGAATGGTGAGCAATACACAAAATATTATCTTATACACCACATCTACATAATACAAAACAGAGATATTGAAGTTTCTGATCTTTTGTATGGGAAGTTGGGGACTGCTTAAGTGTAGCTTAGTGTAGAGTGTAGAGGAAAGATAGGAGGAGAAGAAATAAACTACAAAGAAATCTTAGGTATACGGGTACAACGCCGCGGACGACATAACGGGTTGCCGGGGCTCCGGCTCGAAGGGCAGGAGTAAAAACGGGGTGGTTATAAGTTAGTACGAGTCTGACACTCCCTCCCACCTACCCAGGTGGGAAAAGTCATTCGATGATTTTCCCCCCTTAAAAAAATACGGGTACAATACCCATGTTAGGTAATTTCTGCATCATAGGGTGTCTGTACTCTGTAGTACTAACCTACCTTATTACCCATTTGGGTATTTTTACCCATATTCTTCTTTCCGGTTGATCCTAATAATCCCAATAAAATAATCTTTTCCACTTTCTGACCATCAAACGCCACATCACTAGATACCTATTATTCCTCTTCACATACCTACATACATATTTTTAAATTGAGTTCCTTATATACGTCATCATTCAGATACCTACAGTAGGTAAGTACGTACTTTTTCTATTACTCAATACTTACCCATGTTTCACTAACTTTATCTTATTTACTTAATTAATTGGTATTAAAAACTCCGCATCCTCTTCACATATCTAATCTAACCTTAACCCATTAGAAGTCACTGTACTCATATGAGTACACCTAAAATTCTACGCATAAACTTAATATCTCTTATATTTTTGTAGAGTAACCCTATTATCTTAATTCATTATAAAATTGTCTAACTATATTGATAAATTATATGAGGGTAGTGCGATATTTTTTTCACATTATTTACGTTGCCCGCCAATCTACTTCAAAATCAAACCCTACGTGGCGGAAATGTGCAATCCTGCAAAATGGAGTTGGACACTATCCACTAAAAATTTAAAAGCAACTACGATGTGTCCTTTGTCATTCAAGAGTACCTACGTTGGCAATGTAAAAAGTGCTAAAACATTTTGTGTAGAAATATCGTGTTTTAAAAATTTTCATACTTAGGTGGTCAGTGTACCCAATTGAGTACACACCTAAATTATCATGAAAAATACTATTTTCCATTTTTTTTCTCGCATTTACTGTTGTTATACTCTCAGTTGATTACGAAAATAAACAAAATTAATAAAAAATATTGGTACTTTTTATTTGACCTTTAATGGGTTAATACTTATTGGCATTTTAATAATTTAAAACATGAAACATGTATTAATAAAAAGGCGGATCAAGGAAAAATATCTGAAAATAAATATGTTAGTGAATGTCTAATTGTCTAATAGGTGCTCAACTACATCCTCTTCCCTCCTATTCGCTTTCGCACCAATGTAATATTCTTTTAAGCATTGCTACATCACTACCTCCCTAATCCCTAATCCCTCTGCTGGAATATATAAAAGTGCCCACTGCTGAGCAAAGCCTCTTGTCACACGGAGAAGGTTTAAGCATTAATCACCACGCTTGCTCAATGCGGGTTGGCGATTTCAAACTTACAATTAGAAATAATAAGTCCAGGTTTCCTCACGATGTTTTAAAAGGGTTGAGGTTGCCTCAACCTTGCTCCCAGGCAACCTCAAAAGGTTGAGGTTGCCTGGGAGCAATGCTGCCTGGTTTCTGCTAACCTATAGGAAGTGAAAGAGAAGCAACAAATATATCTCTCTCTTCAGATAATGATTTACTATTATAATATTTTTACCTGTTTTCAGTCATTGGATTGTGCATTTTGCCGAGCGGCGTTTAGTACAGTATTTGAATACGTACACAATAACCAAACGGCTGAAGCTGAACAAGTTGTTACAAACCTCTGCACTTCTTTGGGTATTCAATCTTACGTCGTTTGCAAAGGAGCTATAGAACTCAATGTGGTACCTAAGGACTTATGGCATTTATATACTATTTTTATAACATTTTTATAGATTGGTTTAAATTTAATGATCTATTTGTTTATTTTCTAGCCAATAATAATACACATAATCGAAACGGTACCTGAGGCCACGCCAAGGGCGTTTTGTGGGCTTGTTTTACAAAATGCGGGCAATCCCAACTTTTGTAGAATTGACGATCCCAGGTTCGAGTGGGAAGTTGACCTGCCCGAGCAGGCGCCAGAAACCCAGGTAAGTTATTTGAATTTAATGTTAAATTAGGACATTGTAACGGATAGTTATGTAGTATAAACACCTGCAAGATTTGCCTCGATATCTACGTCCGAGTAGTAGGTAGTAAGTATATACCTAAATTAGAAAAAGCATTTGAAGTAGTGATAAAAGCCATAATATGTAGGTTACCTAATATTACTCAGCACGAAATAATATAATGACATCACTTCATCATTTCGTGGTTTACACGTCCAAGAAGTAGGAATCAAATGAAACCGACAATTCAATTTGACATTTTTAAAGTTCCTAATTAAGGATTGCTTGAAATAAATGCTGTGACTTTATTATGATTTATACCTATTTGCAGCAACAAGACCCTCTCGCCGATACAAGACCACTTAGAATAGCTGTTATAACCGATGCCCATATTGACCCTTTGTATGAAGCCCATGGAGTTGCCGACTGCGACCAACCAGTTTGCTGCAGAGTTGGGCAATCACCAGCTCATCGATATATTTATCCGATGAAACGATCCATCGCAGAGGAAAGTTTAATTGATCGGAGTGTTAAAGACGATAATGATGAAATTAAAATAGATTTAAGCGTAGTTCCTGAGCTACGTCAGTTGAGAAGATCGATACAAACCAGAACTTTGGCGCCAAGAAATTCTGCACCAGCCGGCTATTGGGGAGACTACAGAGACTGTGACACGCCCATTTGGGCATTTGATAACGTTATCGATACTATTACAGAGTCCCACACGGTAATTATTTTTATTTTTCTTTAAGTTAAATATCCAACTGGTATTTAGGGAAACCAGAACCTCGTCTTGTCTGCTTCTGTCTGTTTGATATTATACATAAAAAAAAATGTATTTTCTCTACCTACTGTATAATTGTAGATGATGAAATTAACTCTATATTCACTGTAAACAATGATGGTGCTAAACAATTATTAAATACTAATCCTTACTGATACGATTGATAACATTACAGAATATTGACGTAGTATATTACATCGGTGACACAGTTGACCACGGAGTATGGGAGACCACATATGAAATGATTGACGACAGTAACCGACATATCATTGATAAAATCAGGTCTAATTTTGGAGATAATGTACCTGTCTTCCCTGTTATTGGAAATCATGAATCTCAACCGACAAACCAGTGAGTATTGCATTGCTAAACCAGTACATAGTACATACTGGATAGTCATTATCTAATTAGATATCTACAGCACTTGTCTACTCAATAGGATGTAAGGAATAAATACGCAATATACCTATGTAATTAAAAAAAAAAACACTTAAGTTGATAGTTATCAGAAGTACCTAAAGTTAGGAGGAAAGAAAGGAGATTTTATTTTGATAATCCTTACTATAATATTATAAATCGGAAAGTGAGTTTGTTTGTTTGTTCCGCTTTCACGCCGTAACTACTAAACCGATTGCTTTGAATTTTTGCAGACGTAAAGTTAGAAGTCTGGATTAAATAATAGGGTACTAATTATCCCGGAAAAATTTGATATTCCCGAGTGAAAACAAAAGTATTGGTATAGATGGCGCTCTGTGTATTGGTATATGTCACATAGGTTACTTTTTAACCTTTTGTGACGCGAGCGAAGCCGCGGGTAAAAGCTAGTAACTTATACATTTGCAATCGTGCTTACGGTGGACAGTGATGCAAAGTACCTTATTAGAAGCATCTACCTAATCATCAACAAAACATGCCATAAAACTAGCATATAATTTTGGGTGCACTGAAGTTTTGTGCGCCCAATTATTTCCCCAAGTTGAAATGTTATTCCTTTATTCTTTCAGATTCGCCCCATCGTATGTGCTTGGCGAACATATAAACACAACATGGTTGTACGACGCTCTTACAAAAAAATGGGATTTCTATCTGTCTGAGGATGCAAAAGAAACTGTACGAGCACGTGGAGAATATTCGATGCTGGTCAGACCAGGACTTAGGGTTATTGCTATGAATAACAACGTTGCCTATAAATATAATTGGTAAGTATCTGTGCATTACGGAGCATCGGCATTGTGAAAAATGTCGGAAAGTAGTAACAGTAATAATACTGTTACTGGCCATAAGGCCATGGGATGAAAAGAGCTCCATTGCCATCAAGGGTCACAGATAAAAATCAATGAAAAAGTAGACACTGTGGAATGAGGCAAATATGTGAATGGTGAGTCTTAGGTAACCAATTTTACGAGTCAATTCTTTTTTTTTTAAGGTGGCTAGTTTACGACCCATTGGATGCGAAAAGACATTTGGAGTGGTTGGTTGACGAGTTATACAAAGCTGAAAAGGCTGGAGAAAAAGTTCACATCTTAGCACACATACCAGCAGGAGTTAGCGATCTTACGCAAACATGGACAAGAGAATACAATAGAATTGTTAACAGGTAATTTTATCGATAAAAATCAGTGCAATAAAATTACAATTCCAGTAAATACGTAGGAAAATCAATTACAATTTAATTAGTAAAGATTAAAGTAATTTTTGTTAATTAATCGCCGACAGTATAAAAGTACCGGAGATAGTGATCGATACCTTTCCGTTAGGTAGTTAGGTAATGTTATTTTTTATTTATCTGCAAATCGGAAAGTTACGTGAAAGATTAACAGACAAAGGATAAACTGAACTTTGAACCTGATGAGTTTAATGACGAACTAAAAAATGTATTACAATCATGATTTGACACAAAAGCAAATTGCAATGGCAATTTTTGTTTCCCTCAGATGGCGCTAGTTATACTTTATGTCCTGTTAGTTTTTCCAATCATTGCACCTGTGAAATGGTTATATTATTTGGTAACTTATCGCGGGTTCTACTCAAGCACGGAATAATAAATTGTATGATTGTATGAACTACAAATTGTTAATTCGGCTCTAGGTGTAAAGCGTATGAGACACACATTTTAGAAAAAAAATAATTTACATTCTCAATTCAAGGCTACAGTAGCGCCTCTCATAATAAACCAAGGTTTAAACAGTTCTTATAGGCGTAATTTTGAAAACTACCGTCTATAATTTTCAGATTCTCTAAAACAATAGCAGCTGAATTCAATGGACACACTCACTCGGATGAGTTTAAGATATTCTACAGTCTAAAAGATGGTAGTCCTATCAACGTCGCATGGGGAGCCGGCAGCACTACCGCGTACACCTTCTACAATCTCAACTACAAAATTATTGACTTTGACAGCCAAACTTACGTAAGTATTCTAGAAAACTTATTTTGTAAATATGAGTAATACCTACAATTAATTACATGTGGTGTTTAGGTACATTACGAGCTCGGCTAATGATTTACTATTTATTTATTTGGGTCAAACATTTAGGTACTAAATTGCCCTTCTTCTGGCCTGATTGGTCTGATAATTGGGACACACTTTTAGTAATTATTATAAAGCAATTTAATTGATATGTGTACCTAGTTGTGTAGTATATTCTCAAGAAGGCTTGTCCCTGCACCCAAGCACAAAAGGCCGATTAGATACGTACCGATGACCGTTATTTAACATGATTTCTCTTTGCCCACAGTACCCAGAAAATATAGTGAACTACGTGTACAACTTAACAGAAGCCAATCTCACCCCAAACCGACCGCCTCATTGGTTCCAGCTCTACGATATGAAAAATACATTTGGACTTCCCGACCTATCCCCTGTATCTATGGACAACTTAGTCCACAGAATGGTTACAGGAGAAAGACATTTACTGGACAAGTATGCAGCATTCTATTCCAAAGTCAACGACATTCGCTGGTCAAGTTGTAATGACTGGTGCAAAATAGACAACCTTTGTAAAACAGTTGTCACTGTATTGTGGCAAAGACAGAAGTGTGACGAAATAAGAAACTTGTTCTTTTCTTAAGTTATATTATTTAGAAATTAATGTTTTTTTTTTAAGAATTTTCTCGATAATTCGAGGCGATACTGTCGTATGTCGAGGTTTCTAATTCATTTAAATCACTAATCTAAATGTGATGCTATTATCCGAAACCCTACTTAGTCGTTATGTACAGGTGTCCACAAAATAAATATTTTTTTCGATATGTATTCAAACAGTATAAGAATATAAAAATGTGACTGAAATAAATGTTAATAACTGACCCCTAATTTTGGAACTATATTACAATAAAGTTTTTTTATACATTCTCTTTTTCATTTAATGTTACCCAAATAAAATTTATTCACAATATGTCCGAGTCATGTACTTGTATTTTCTTTTAATAAAATAGTTAAAGTGCAAACAACAAGTGATTTATTTCATTATATAATATAACTAAAATTTTCTATAAATCTACGTAATAAATAACATCAGTGGTTTAATATACTTAGCCAGGTGATCTTCGGTTTTGACCTTAAATCATCACTTGGTATCTTGTCTAATTCTGCGATCTGGAACAAAAAGAGCATAAATGCAGACTATATGTAGAGTAATGGCAATCTGTGGGCAAGCCTGTGGATTTCAAACCGCTTTTTCATTGTAGAGAGGGATCAATGAAAAAGGGGGGGGGGTTTAAGGGGGTAAAATCTTCGAATGACTGCTGGGACTGGTAGGAGGGAGTGTCAGACTCTTACTGACTAAAAACCACCCCGTTCCTTCTCCTGCACGTTGAGCCGGAGCCCCAGTAACCCGTTAGGTTCTCCAGGGGGAAGGTTGGGCTTGACAATCGCGCTCGCGATTGTGAAATGAAATGCGATTTCAGATTTAAGTACACAATTACCCTCTCGCGTGTTTCTTGTACACACACACACACGCTTACCATTTTCAACACTTTTAGTGGAGTAGGTATACAGCCTACTTTGGTTGATGGGCATAATAACAAACAGACAAGCAATGATTGATATTAAATTGCATCTCAGTGGCTCAGTCTATCCTTTATATGTAGGTATATGAACATGCATTCACAAATTCATTGATTGTCATTATAGCCTAAAAATTTTTTTACCTGGTGCCTAATAAACTTAACAAGCCTCTCAATATGTTCTGCCTTGACATCGTGTGCTAATGAGTAGAATCTCCTCCAAATGGCTGCAGCCAGTATTTTATCATCACTAAGTCCTTCATCATAAGCTACCAAGGAAGCTTGAAACTGTTCTGACAATTCTGATACTTGCTTTCTTGCTATTGCTGGATTGGCACCCTGAGGAGAATAAAAAGAGTATATTAAAAAATGAAATGTTTTAATGAGTTTTGTTCTATGGGTAGAATTTAAAATTTTATTTGCAAAATTTGTAGAGAATTGAAATAATTAAATGCTTTCTATTATGTTAGAAGATAATTTTGTTTTCTTTTGAATAGCAAGATGGAGAGGAAGGAAATATTTATTTAAATTCACATACTTTTATAAGATTTATATAAGCTGACAAAGCTAAAAATTACCTCTAACAGTTTTATTTTGTTGGCAACATCGGCCCACAGAGCCTCAATAATACAATTCCTCACAAAATGTCCATCTCCTTTTATATATTTTTTCTTTTCATTGACAGGTAATAGAATATCTTCAGCCATGTAACGCACCATAAGCATCCAAACATGCAACTCGGTAATGACAAACCATGAAGCAAAAGTATCAGGCAGTTCTAGGCTCTCAAACCATTCAGCGTAAGATACATTTTCCGGTATACATTCATATAAGAAATATCCGGTTAATTTTAAACGCTGAAAAAAATAAGATTAGTTTTATATTAACAATTATTATATATATTTATTTGATTTAAAAATAACTTGTTTAAACTAAATTGGAACTAATTAGAAGATAATCTATATGCCAAGTTTAGAGTTTCTTACTGTTTAAAAAAAAAAAAAAAACAATGATTGAAGAGTCTCTCTGTGGCTCAAAACTAGTAGCGCTTTTCTCAGTATTTACGTGATTAATTCATAATGTTTAGTTAGTTCAGCATGTCAATACTTATTATCAAAACAATGTTTAGCCAATTTGAATATACTATTGAGAATGGCATTCTTTCTTTATTGATCTTCCCGTATATCTAGTTAGCACGCTCCAGAAGTGCAAGTTTTTATTTTCATAGTATGTGTGAACTCCTCGTTTTCGTTTGACTATTCGCTTACCTAAATAAACCGATACCTAAAAACATTTGCAAATTACTTACAGTCCTAGACTGGTCCATCCATCCGACTGCATTCATGAATTTTTTCACATAGCTATCTTCCACAGTTACAGTATTTAAACTTCTCGAATACAAGAAGTTTGGTTTGCTAATATGCAAGATGCTAGCGCATGGTCTTGCATAATATGTTCTAATTTGAGCTTGGTGATGCCATAAAGCCTGAAATTGTACCATTACTTATTAGTTTCCTTATATTCTTTATAACTAAAATAACATTTAGTGTTAAATTATTAGGTTACAGGTGAACATTATCTCTTCAAAATGTAAAAATATTTGAGTATATTAGTTTTATTCACTACATTCATAAACACAAAACCTACACGAGATATAGTACGTGTGCGGAACATGCCGTTTTATTTATAAGTTACAGATGTACACCAAAATTACTTTTCAGTTGGATATTATTTCATTTTCCTATTTTTTTACAGCTGAAGTGCCTGAAGTACCAATGAAGTAGGTACTGAAAATCTCAGATGGATGTCAAATGTCAAGAATGACAATTGACAACGGACAGAGACTGTTTGACAGTAACTAGCAGTCAGACTTCTCCTGTCTATGGATTTACAGCTAGTGACACGCCTAAATGATTCTGAAGGCTTAGGCTTGTGATTATTGGTGTGCAATGGACATTTTGACTCGTATTTGAATAGATTTTGTATTTATTGGTTGGTTGTATTCTAATATTAGATAACATAATAATATATCGCATAATTAATAAAATAACTTGACGAATACTTTGACGCCTAAATTAAGGGTATAATTTTTGTTGTTTTCTTCTTTTTTACTTACGTTTTATTTACTAGTGTAGTTGTAGTTAATTTTAAGTTGTAAATATTTATGTAGATATCTATATATATATATATATATTTAAAATTAATTTGCAATAAAATAATAACTATTATATCTTGTTTCTTTCACACATATAAATGTAATAATAAGCAAATTTAAATCCGATTATAAGAAATCAAACCCAAACTTATTGGAATATTGAGACAGTCGAATAGAATCTAATTTGATAATATTTTAAAGCAATTGTTAAATGTAGCAAATTTTGCAGTGTTACATTATAATTTGAGTGTATTTCTGTAATGAAACTTGTATTTTTATAATTAAACTTATAACAAAATCTCATAGAGTACATCCTAATGTAATGAATGACAACACTAGCCCGTTCAATAAGTTCACGTTTTGAGATTTCGTGTCTATAGTATTTTTTAAGGTTACATAATTTACGGTGGGCGCCGATTCTTCGCCCAAGTGCATTAAATAATCGAAAATGTTGGGGGCTGTAAGTCGGGTTGGTAGCGGCCTTTTAGCCGTAAAGTCGGTAGCTGAAAAAACCTTAACAGAATGTGGCAAAATCGCAACCGTATCTGCCATCAACAAAAGGGATTATGCAGCAAAAGCCGCTGCAGGCAAAGGCCAAGGTAAGGTAGTGGCTGTCATCGGTGCTGTTGTGGACGTACAGTTCGAAGACAACCTACCACCCATTCTAAATGCCCTTGAAGTACAAAACCGTCAACCCCGGCTTGTGCTGGAGGTGGCTCAGCACTTGGGAGAGAACACCGTCCGTACCATCGCTATGGACGGTACCGAGGGTCTGGTTCGTGGCCAGCCCGTCCTCGACTGCGGCTCGCCCATTCGTATCCCCGTGGGCGCTGAGACCCTCGGCCGCATCATCAACGTAATCGGAGAGCCCATCGACGAGCGCGGCCCCATCCCCACTGACAAGACTGCCGCTATCCACGCTGAGGCGCCCGAGTTCGTGGACATGTCCGTGCAGCAAGAGATTCTGGTCACTGGTATCAAGGTCGTCGACCTGCTCGCCCCCTACGCCAAGGGAGGTAAGATCGGTCTGTTCGGAGGTGCCGGAGTCGGTAAGACTGTACTTATCATGGAGCTCATCAACAACGTCGCTAAGGCGCACGGTGGTTACTCTGTATTCGCTGGAGTAGGTGAGCGTACCCGTGAGGGCAATGACTTGTACCATGAGATGATTGAGTCCGGAGTAATCTCCCTGAAGGACAAGACCTCCAAGGTAGCACTTGTATACGGTCAGATGAACGAGCCCCCTGGCGCGCGTGCCCGTGTTGCTCTGACTGGTCTTACCGTGGCTGAATACTTCCGTGATCAGGAAGGTCAGGATGTGCTGCTGTTCATTGACAACATTTTCCGTTTCACCCAGGCTGGTTCTGAAGTGTCTGCCCTGCTGGGTCGTATTCCCTCTGCTGTAGGTTACCAACCAACCCTGGCCACTGACATGGGTACCATGCAGGAGCGTATTACCACCACCAAGAAGGGATCCATCACCTCCGTGCAGGCTATCTACGTGCCCGCTGATGACTTGACTGACCCTGCCCCTGCCACCACCTTCGCTCACTTGGACGCCACCACTGTACTGTCCCGTGCTATTGCTGAGCTGGGTATCTACCCCGCCGTGGACCCTCTCGACTCTACTTCCCGTATCATGGACCCCAACATTATTGGTGCTGAGCACTACAATGTGGCTCGTGGTGTCCAGAAGATCCTTCAGGACTACAAGTCACTCCAGGACATCATCGCTATCCTGGGTATGGACGAGTTGTCTGAGGAAGACAAGCTGACTGTCGCTCGCGCCCGTAAGATCCAGAGGTTCTTGTCCCAGCCTTTCCAGGTTGCCGAGGTATTCACTGGACACGCTGGCAAACTGGTGCCCCTTGAGGAAACCATCAAGGGCTTTTCTAAAATCCTGCAGGGCGAGTATGATCACCTACCTGAAGTAGCATTCTACATGGTTGGACCTATTGAGGAAGTTGTTGCTAAGGCCGAAACCCTAGCTAAGTCGTAAATGATTGCAACTTGTTGTTAACAGAGTACCCTGCAAGAATCCTTAATCAAATGTTGACACGAATGCGTGTGCGGGAGTAATGTTATTTCTAAATAAATTTAGTGAAAACTAAGAAGTTTTTTATTCAAACATCTCGATATGATGCACCCTTTCATGTTTTTCGTACTCTTTTTACATTACTGGCACATTGGGTAGTGTCGATAAACGCGCATTGGATCCCCCGAAGGGGGTACATATAGATACAGTACATACATATACAGATAGTGTGAACATTCATTACTACCTACGTAGTAATGAATGTTCACACTATCTCTCCGTCGGTTATCTAGTCTCATTAAGAGACTGAAATTAGCCAACAAATTCAGACTCCGAGGTAACTAAGAATTTAATAACCTTACTCTTGCAACCTCGACCAATAAACTAATTTTAATTTAAAACCTGGTAGATTATCCTGAAAACACTAAAATAATGATAACCTGGGGTAATTAATGCCTTCGTGTTTCTATTTCTACCGATAAATGTTTTGACCCGTGCCTAACTCTGAAATGTAGAATATCTTAGAACTAGATACTTATAGATTACCTATATAGAATATAGAAGTAGGTTAAGATTAGAACTGAATTCTACTTAAGAAAATTGTGAGAATATCACCTGACCTGATTTACTTTTGAGGTTATATGTATCAGCTGATTACAATAACAAAAAAAGAATTTTTGTCATGGCTGTTTTGGTTTTCCATGTGTTATTTAGAGAGATGGTTATAAAATAGGTAACCCTAGGTACCTATTTACTTTAGATAAAACGGCAAAGGTATACCTAGATACAGATTTTTTGGTTATGCAACTACTTAATTAATATAAGATTAAATTTACCTAAGTTACAATCGGGTATAAATACATAACAAGGTTATTTTAGAAAAACTTTCAGCTGAACATTTTCCTATAACCTATTCTGTAGGTATATTTACCTACCTACAAACAGTTAGTGCTTAGGAATTACTGAATTAGTATTGGTAAGGTATATTCCTTTTCCCAATGTTAAGACTTATGTTATGTAAGTAATAGTAATTAATTCATTACCTAGATAAGTACCTAACTATAGGGGTAACGGGTAACTTAAGGCCACCTATACTTTGTACTTATTTAAACTGTCAAACACCGAGCGGTCACCGGTGACCGCAACCTATTGTTCTATAATTGTGTCTACAAAACCGGTACTCGACGAGTTTAGGTAGCCCACTTTTTGTAATTTTAATAAAACACTGGCCCGAGATGAACACCTATTTCGTTAATAACAAAACCTAGGTAATTGAAAAAAAAATCTTGCTATTACCTATTTCTCCTACATATCACATCACATAACATCACGCCTTTTATCCCCGAAGGGGTAGGTAGAGGTGCACATTATACCACTGTACAATGTAACACCCACTTTTCACTATTTATGAGTCCCATGTAATAGGGGGTGAGCCTATTGCCATTTACCTACCGGGCACAATTCCAGACTTCGTGCTACTATTGAGAATTTTTTTAAAACCGAATAATACTTTGCCCTGCAGTCTCCTACACCTCAAAATTATCAACCACCAAAGGTAGATTTTCTTGACTAGCATTTTCATTAAGGGGCAAAATCATCAAAATGACTCTTCTCATCGTGGGTGAGACGTCTTTAGTCGTGAGCAATATTAACGCGACCCGAACCGGGGCGGAGCCGCGATAAAAAATAGACTTTTACTTTAAAATTCAAGAATTGAAAGAAAGTCAATTCCCAGAATTGACCTCCAGACGTCTCAGCATGGGAGTTTTTAAGCGATAAACGAATATAAACCTGACCTTGGGACCTGAAGATGACGTCAGAGATCGGGGACACAATACAAATTAATGTAAAAACCTAAATAAATGAAAATAAACAATTTGTTTCTTAATATCTATTTAATTTGTTATTTCTACCTAAGGGCGTAGGTTCTAGTTGATTTAAACGTTAAACAAAAGTGCTTTAAAGCATAAACTAAAATAAATGTTTCCGTCATTTCTTAATTTATATAAAGTCTATAATACAGTTGTGTCAATAACTTCTGTAGCCGTTTCCTTACTTATTACAGATTCGTCAATAGTTTCTTCTACAATATCATCATCATCGTCCTCAAGAAGTCTGTCTTCAGATTTCGAATCCATAGTGTCATTATCTAATGAAATGCATTCTTCAATGTCGGTGGGTACATTTTTCTCTACGTTAGTATCTGATACAGTAGTATCAGACGTATCATTATTTATATCTTCAGGTGTTAATGATTTTGAATTTTCAGTCGGTGTTGTTATTGCTGGCTTTGAAGTTTCTACTGGTGTTTCGGAAGACGCCGGAGATGCTGTTTCTTGATTTTTATTAGGTACTTTACTAATTGGTTGAGCTATAGCGCATTCCACCTTAGGAACTTTAACAACGACTACCTGATCTTGGTCCTCACTCGAATTCCTTTTATTTGGATCTTTCAGTTTTATTGTTTGGAATTTAAGTGGAGACACTTGTGTCCCATCTTTATTTCTGTTGATTGGCTTGATGACTAGTATTTTAGTTTTCAATCCGGATTTTGTGAAATCCGAAATATTTTTATTTATAATAGGATTTTTCATAACTTCTAGACTCTGACGACGAAACTTGAAAGGAACAACCGAAGGAAGACTTTTCGGTTTAATTATTTCAGGAATAATAGGTTTTATGCTATTTTGTTCTTTAGAGGAAACTGCACTTACAACTGCAGTTTCAACTAATTCGGGCTTTGAATTTATCCCTTCATCTTTAACTTTGGAAACTTCTTCAACAGGAACATTTTTAACTGTGGAAGCTTTTTCAGGCACTTCTTTTACTGGACTAGGAGATTCTTTCGTATCTTCATTATTTTCTTTCTTAGGAGATATTTTATCTCCTCTCGAAATAAGCTTAGGTAACATTGGTCTAACAAATACATTTGGTAGTCTTATATCTTTTTGGGGGCAAATCGTAGTGAAATCGGTTTTTATATGTGCACTGGCTCTTTCAACACACTTCTTTGACAATGTGATCAGTGCTCCACAGCATTCTTTGTTAATATTATCATAGTTACTTTGTACCTCTTGAGCTTTTTTCTTGGTTTGTCCTGATTTGGCAGTAGCCATTGAAATAGAATCTCTATAACCTTGCGCTTCCATTTTAAGTAAATTTGATAAATCATATTCAAAGTCTGCATTCTTAGGTTTCGTTCTTCTCCTAACTGGTCTTCTAGAAGCGACAGATGACGCGTTTTCGTTAGATAATTGCTTTTTAGCATCAATGTCATCCAAGTCAGAAGAATTTTCTTCAAAGTTTTTGACAGTAGTAGATGAATAGTTGTCTAGATTGATACTTTTGTCCACGGAAGAATCTCCATCCTTGTCTTGAATTGCTGAAAGTAAAACAATAAAATAATTAATTCAAATGGTTGCTGGCAAATGATACGGACAGAGGAAGGGAGGGAGGGAAGAGGGGTTTTTGAGTAACTTTATTACGCACATAAATTATACTTACGTTTACTAACAAATTCCTTTCTCTTTTTCGCATTAGTTTTGGTGTGGAAAACTTTTCTCTTTCTACTTAATCCTTCTACTCGGGTGCTGCTTGAGGAACTGTCATCAGATAATCTACTGGAATCGCTGGAGCATCGGCTAGGCCGTCTCGACTCTGGACTTGTTTCAGCAGCATCAGGCAGTTCGTCCGTCGACTCACACAGTTCTAAAGCTTCAGGACCATCAATGGCTTTCACAGTACTGTAATAAAAATCTTTATCACCTTTCAGTTTATGAACAACTTTTACATGTTCAGGTAACTTTTCAAAGTAGTAATGCTTGAAGTTACACAGCTTGCAAGCATATCGCATCCATTTGACGTGTTCCGCTACATGATCGTACAGTTCTTGTGTTTCACCAAATTGAGCGTCACATCTTTTACATAACATTTTGGTTATTTCTATCTCTGATTGAATTCTTTGTCTGAAGGCTGCTAGGTTGCCTTTTTCTGCTTGATGAGCGAAAGGCAATCTGATATTAAGTTTTGGTGGATCTATTTGTCGTTTTTCAGGCACTTTATCTGGAGATTCTGGGGCATCGTTGGATTTGCTATCATCGTCACTAACGTCCATTGCCGCATCTTCTACCTCCTTATTATCATCATCTTCATCCTTGTCTTCATCAGCTTCTTTGTCTTCGATCACAATTTGTTTTTCTTCTTCTTTAGGTTTTGGTATAGCTTGCTGCTCATCCTTAGTGGTTTTGTTTTCTATGAAAAATAACATGGTAGTTTAGTAAGTAAAATTGTAATGTGTAAAATGGTGAAGTATTAGATTGTTGGTTTTAGTGACATCTCAAGAAACATTCTTATTCTAATTTTATTTGTTGATCCAATAAGCGTATTTTTTTCTTATTTTAGATGAACACACGAGTAAAATATTTACCGTTAGCATCAGCTTTGACGGGCAAGTTTAAGTGAACAGAGGGTCCCTTGTGGTAGTCCTTGCGTATCTGTATCTCGATCTTCTTGGTCTCGTGCGGGCGGCGCGCGAGGGCCCGCGAGCGCGGCGGACAGGTGTGCGTGTGGGCGGCGAGCGCGGCGCGGCGCTCGAACGTGCGGCCGCAGCCGCCGCAGCGCGGCGCCGACCCGTCGCACTCCAGGTTGTCCATCCACGCCTGCCACATACACACTCAATACACGTCTTCTTACTACCTTAGTCTATTCAAATCAATTACATAACATCACATCACGCCTGTTTATCCCCGAAAGGGTGTGCAGGAGCACATGACGGCACTTAATATCACTGTAGGTACAATGTAATCGATCAATCATTAAAACTCCAATTTATTAATTACTATCACGTTTATACAAAACTATCGAATTGTACCGATATCTCTGTCACATCAGATCAAAGATACCCTCCTTTTCCATATTTTTTTAGATTTTATCTTCTTTGTTCATTATCATTCATGATCATCATCATCAGACTGCCTCGTTGGCCGAGTGGTCGTAAGTGCGACTGCCGCGCAAGGGGTTTCAGGTTCGATTCCCAGGTCGGGTAAAATACTACCGGATTTAAAAAAAAATCTCAGTAGTAGCACCGAGTTTGCAATTGTGCCTGGTATATGGCAATAGACTCACCCATAGGGGGTGGGACATACATAGGACCAATTACATACCTCTCTGTAAGTAGTGAAAAGCGGGTATTACATTGTAGTGGCATTAAGTGCCGTAATGTACACCTCTGACTACCCCTTCGGGGATAAAAGGCGTGATGTTATGTTATGTATCTTAATATTCTTTAAGGAGCAAGCTACGCCCATATGTAACTTGCTTAGTATACTTACTGTAAAAAGGACGATAAATTTCAAATCATTACTTAATCACATACTTGAAAAGTAAATGAGGTTCTTACCTGATTCTCCTGTTCCAATCTTTCTTCTTCAGAAATTTTCTGTGCAGTAACCGACTTCATATTATTCTTACGCTTTTCATAGAAAGCTGGTGGATTGTTCATTTTGAAAGCTTTCGCTTGTATCGATTCCCTCAGCCTTCGGATTTGTGCAGCAGTTTTTCTGAATGAAAAAATGGGAATGAATAAGTAAATTTGTGAATGGTATTGACAGAACAGGTTTTTAAGTATCCTCTTCCTTTATATATTTTTAAAACCTTAACACGTTAAACGCCATGGCAGTCACTGGTGACCGACATTAGCGGAGGATTTGCCTTCAACAGTTGTTTATTGGCAGCCAATGCCTTAATTAACATGGGCCTGCATGTTAGCTTTTTTTCCACTTTGCGACCCCATAATTACGCCACTCTCACGATCACTGTACGGTTTTATTTAAAACTAGCTTGAACTTGAACCATAACAAATTATACACCAACACCTTTTGTAGGAATCACTGAATCTATTAATAAAAACCGTATAAAATTTGGTCTCGCAGTTTTTGAGTTTATCGCCTCCACACAGACAGATGCGAAAGGGATTTCTTTAAAACATTCTGTAAGGATATTTACCTATGAACCTTGAAGAGATGTCTGTAGACACTCCAGGATGTGGAGAAAATTTCCAGACAGTCAGGGCATGGATACACGAGACGTGTTTCAACATGTTTGTACTTCATATGGAACTTCAAAGTCTTTTGAGTGGAGAACTGCATGTCACCTGAAAAAAATTAAAATAAAATTACATAAAATCGTAGAAAGTGACACTCTGTGACCTTCTCCATGAAAGAAGGCATGAGTTTATGCGGTAGGCACCCACTTTTCATCGGTCATGTTATATAAGATCCATGAGCGTACACAGAACACGATAACAGACCACATGCTATTACTGAAATCATTTTACAATTGAAAATGTAAATTATAATACTTTGACCCAGTCGTGAACAAACCAAAGTTCTTATAAAAAGTCTATTACTTACTAGAACGAGAAAAGTGATTAAAACTTTGTGTAACTCTACCTACCCCTTTTGGGGAACCAAAGGCATGCCTTATTTTACTCTTACGCCTTATGTAATCATAAGATCATGATCTCATAATGAAAGAAATAGTAAATACTGCAATATAATAACACTTTTATAAATGTTATATGTTTAAAAAAACCAACCTCAACCCCCTCTTTTTTGAAGTCGGTTATTTAATATATACTAAAACCTTCTCTTAAGTGTAAGTGTGAGAGAGCCATACTTCGGCACGAATGGGCCGGCTCGACCGGAGTGATACCACGGCCTCACAGAAAACAGACGTGAAGCAACGCTTGCGTTGTGTCTCGTCGTGTAAGTGAGGTTACCGGAGGCCCAATTACCCTCCCCTTCCCCAATCTCCCCAATCCCTGAATCCCCAACAATCCTCAAACTCCTAATCCCCAAAATGCCGCTAACGCACTTGTAACGCCTCTGGTGTTCCAGGTGTCCATGGGCGACGCCGATTGCTTACCATCAGGTAATCCGTCTGCTCGTTTACCAGTTTATGCCATAAAAAAAAACATTTTTCTGAGAATCGCATCAAAATCGGTTCAGCCAAACGTAAATACAGGTCAAGCTGAGAACCTCCCTCTTTTTTTTAAGTTGGTAAAAATACTTACAGATTTTACATTTAAGTACATTAGTAACATCATTGTTGTCCTCATCATCACTTATTTGTATGACATTATCAGATTCTTCAGACACTGAACTCTTCACTTTGAAGTTGCCATCGCTTTGCAGGACAGCGATGTCCCTTGACAGGATACTGTCTAGTTCATTTACCTGAAAACAATTATAATCATCATTATTTTATTGAACATACAGCTCATTACAGTCTATGGTAAAATTATGGGCCTATACTAAACTATAAAGATAACATACATAACATCACGCCTTTTTATTCCCGAAGGGGTAGGCAGAGGTGCACATTTCAGCACTTAATGTATAATGTAACACCCACTTTTCACCATTTATGTTGTGAGTCCCATGTTAATAATATAATAATAAAATAATAATAAAGATAACATGTTATTAATAAATGAAAATGTTACATGCTCAAGTCAACACATCTGCCTATTCAGTGTTTATATCAAATAAAATAAAACACCTTTATGTTCAGTGATAAAAGTGATGTGGAAACGGAGTCCTGGGTTCTATTTTTGTAGTCTGAACATAAACTTATTATAATACCCAATATTAATAGTGTTTAGTCTACAAGCAATCATTTATGTATTTTATGATTTCAAATAGTCATTAATTTACACTATAAGTAGCCATTTAATAATGTTATTCGATATTACATAACATGAATTGTTTTTTTAGTTATGCAGCTTAAGTCGTCAAGTACCGTCATTATAGACACAATTATAGAACAATAGGTTGCGGTCACCGGTGACCGCTCGGTGTTTGACAGTTTAAATAATACAATATCTTAAAACCAGTTTTTTCATAATGTCTAAGGGAAAGTGGTTTTCTCATTACTTTACTTTGATCTTTTAATATAATACACAATTCTGCCACATTTTCTAGTTACATATAAAACACATACTTGCGCTTTCATATTTTCATTCTGTCTATCCTCGGAAGACTGAACACTTTGGAAGACAGCAACAGAACTATTTGGTATCTTTTGCAAAGCAATTTCCGGTTCCTCATTATTATTTTGATATACTCCTTTGTTTTTGGCAATTTTTTCAACTATTGCTGTCAAATCCTTAGTCAATGGCACTCTGTCATCTGCATCATCAGTTTCCTTATCATTTTCAACATTCTCCTTCAAAGATGCCTGATACCCTTGCTCCAAATGTTTTATTTTCAACAGTTCAGTATACTGTAATGAGAAAAGAAACAATGAATAAAAGAAAGCAATGTAAAATAATAACATCATTTTATTACATGTTGATATAACTCACCGTTGAAGTAGCATTGATAAAATGGCTATGCAACGAAGAACTAAACTTCTCTTTACAATAAACACGTTTATGAGATATGAAATTTGCTAAGCTCCTAAATATATTTCGACACACTTTGCATTCATATAGTAAATCACACTCATTTGATAATAAGTCTTTGAGCTGAAAACAGAAAAAACAAATTGTTATGTAAGAATGCATATTAATTTGAATAAAAGGCATTTATGTTTGTATGTAATGTCAATTTTTATTGATCAACTTACTTCTTCTGTAGCCAAGTCAAAAATCTTCCTTGCTTGGCCAAACCCTGTTATACTAGTAGGTATAGGTTTTCTAAGCAAAGCAAAGTCTGTTTCTTCAGTTTCTTCACCACTTTGACCAATACTCTTAGAACTAGCTTTATTCTTATCTTCTTTAGCTTTTGTTTTGGTATTCACCTTGTTACCTGCCATGCTGAACCTAAAATTATAAGTATTTTATACATACAAACATAAATAAATCACATGTTACGTAAAAATTACAATATAGTCGACAGTACTTTAATTAAATATAGTTAACACGACAAATTAGTCACTAAACTATAAATCTAAAACACCACGCTATTCATATTGGCACCGTTTTGTATAACGCTGACCAACCATGTTGACAATGAAGTAACAGATAAAGATTTACAGATAGTTATATCAATAATAGTCGCATATACATCTTATATTATTTTACGATGTCAATAATACCTATTTACGAAACGTTATCATGCCTTCTATGTGACTCGGGCATGGTAATATCATATTCCACAGCTACCAAGACATTCGCCGTCTCTCCCTCAAATATACACAATAACATGCGATAAAATGTAGTAAATACATACGCAATTTACATTTTAATCAATACAGATTACGATACCACTGTCTAAATAGGTACACTCACGTGGAAATCTTCACAACCGCAAACTTGAAAATCCTAGTCCTGCGACAACTACACCTCCATCACGCCTCCATTTTCAACAAATGAATATCACCTATAGTACGTAACCGAGTTCTCATGGCCATGAGTACAACTATAGCATGTAAAGAAAAATATTACTCTAAAGAGTTTTACTTAAAAATATTATACTGCACAGTTGAATTATCACGAACCCAAAATAGTCATTAGTATTTATCATTTGTAATTTATTAAGTTCACTGATAACAATAATAAAGTAAGTGCATAAAGGATTGATTTAAAAAAAATCCAGGTACTAAATGTGTATCGCTTCCTCTTCCGATATTTAGAATGAGGGCGCCACTAGATATTTGGAAGTGTGTCAATAAATTCATATAACCTAATCACTGTGTGAGTGCGTAGATAATAAATTGAATATTCTTGAAATTAAAGCCATGCCCATTTCTTCTGTAAATATTACAGGGATTCGATAAAGAGAATTTATTTAATCAGTTTTAATTCCCTTTTTAGTACCTACGTTTATTTTTTAAAAGTCAGGAACATTGACGAATGTCAACGAAGGTAGTTGACAGATTATATACAAATTTGACAATATGACATTGACAGTTTGACATTCTTACTTGACTTTTGATGTTTGCAAATTACATTTTGTGAGCCGGTTTGTTAAATTTGACTGAAAAAAAGTGAGTGATACTTTTTTATTATGGATTATTTTAATAGCATAAGTTAATTATACTTATTAAAATAAAACTTTGATTGCAGCATTATGGCATCTGGTGAGAATCAGTCATCATCTGATAACCAGCAAAGAAGATGGCATCATATAAGAAAATTATTAGAAAGGTCTGGACCTTTTTGCCATCCAGACTTTGAGCCATCACCGGAAATATTAGATTTTATCATGGATTCATGCAAAGTGCTAATTGTAGGCGCTGGTGGTCTGGGCTGTGAATTACTGAAAGACTTGGCTCTGATGGGATTTAAAAAGCTGCATGTTGTAGATATGGATACTATTGAACTGTCGAACTTGAACAGGCAGTTTCTATTTAGGAAAAATGATATTGGGTTATCAAAAGCCAAATGTGCTGTTGAGTTTGTTAACAGAAGGTAACACTGTCAGTAACTAAGAATGAATTGAAAGCAATTTTCTTCAAGCCTACTTTTGGTAATCGTCTTTTATATTTTACAGAGTACCAGGCTGTGAAGCAGTTGCTCATCATTGTCCCATCCAAGATTTAGATGAAGGATTTTATAGGCAGTTCCATATTGTTGTCTGTGGTCTTGATTCTATTGTTGCTAGACGCTGGTTGAATGGAATGCTGATGTCACTGTTACAATACAATGATGATAGTAATTATTTCTTTTTCTTACTCTATTGTTCTATTATTTGTTTCTAATATGATTAACTATACATATTATGCTTTTTACAGGGAGTTTAGATCAAAGCAGTGTAATTCCTTTAGTTGATGGTGGAACTGAAGGATTTAAAGGCAATGCAAGAGTAATTCTGCCAGGCATGAGTGCCTGTATTGAGTGCACTCTCGATCTATATCCTCCTCAGAAGACATTCCCTTTGTGTACTATTGCTAACACTCCAAGGTACTTGCCTACTTAAATCTTATAAAGCTAAACAGACAAATGTTTGAATGCTTAGGTCTGAATTAAACAATTATTTATTTATCAAGGTAGGATATAGGCTATATACAACATCACACAATGATCAATAGGGGACCCACTCAGCGCGATTGAGCCAAGCATGCAATACTAACTAGTTATACAATATAAAACCTAAAATAAAAATATTAAAATCAAATTCTGGCATCCCAAAAGTAATAGAAAAACTACCAATACCTAGAATAATAATACTTTTAATCTTACAGATTACCAGAACACTGCATTGAATATGTGAAAGTGATACAATGGGCAAAAGAAAATCCTTGGGGGAACAACACAGCTCTTGATGGAGATGACCCACAACATGTTGCTTGGGTTTTTGAGAAGGCACAGGACAGGGCTGTCAAGCATGGAATCTCAAATGTGACTTATAGGCTGACACAAGGAGTCCTAAAGAACATCATTCCAGCAGTTGCTAGTACTAATGCTGCTATTGCAGCTTGTTGTGCTACAGAGGTAATTATTTATTATTGTATGGGTATTTTGTTTTTAATAATTACTTTTTTGGTTTAGTTTAGTAGGTCTAAATATAAGATTTAATTTCTTATTAAGTTAGTCAAAGTGGGTTTATTAATGTTGATGTATGCAGTGTACATTGCAGTGTACCACTTAACTAACTAACTAACCACTTTGATAACTTTAACCATGTAGTTATAGTATCAGCTCATTTCTGTGCATAACTGTACAATAGACTCCCCTTGGGAAAATAAAATGAATGATGTTGCATAATTATAAACAAGTTTAAACATAATTGTATGCCTATATTCCAGGTTTTCAAGCTAGCCTCTTCATGCTGTGCTAACATGAACAACTACATGGTGATGAACATGGCAGATGGTGTTTACACATACACATTCAATGCAGAAAAGAGGCCGGACTGTGTTGCATGCAGCAACTCTACTCGCATTGTAGAAATAGAACCAGATGCAACCTTGCAGATGATTTACGATAAACTCTGTGAAGATCCTGCCTTTATGATGAAGAGCCCTGGTTAGTCATTTGTCCAATATATGTAGTAAATATGATCTGACAATAGGTTCATTAAAATAATTTATTTTCTTGTCATCCAGGTATAACAACAGTGATCAATGGCCGTAACAAAACCTTATATATGTCTTCTATAAAAAGCATTGAAGAGAGAACAAGGGATAATTTGAAGAAGAAAATAACAGATTTGGGCCTATACAATGGTGCTGATATACTAGTAGCTGATGTTACTACCCCAAACACAGTGACAATAAAACTGAAGTTCCTGGAGAATCAGGACGTTGAAATGGCGCGATAATGGTTTTCTGTCTTCGATTTATGTGGTATTTAAACAAATAAATTAATGCTTCTATGTATATAAATTTAATAATACTTTCATTTAAACCTAACCCTCGTGTCGCGGAGAACCTAACGGGTAACTGGGGCTCCGGCTCGACGTGCAGGAGAAGGAACGGGGTGGTTTTTAGTCAGTAAGAGTCTGACACTCCCTCCCGCCTCACCCAAGCGGGAGCAGTCATTTGATGATTTTCCCCCCTTAAAAAAAACCCTCTGTCGTGTCTGGGTGTGTTAATAAGTAGGTAGTGACATAATTTCACCTGAACAACACGATGCACCTCACACCCATATGCACAATATTTTCTGAATCACGAAGAATTTGTTTATTCGTATTGGAATCGAACCCACGATTCGTTGTACAGTATAGCAGCCACACAGTCACAGTACTGTGTAGTATTTTTTCCGTTATGTAGTAGCGTAGTTTTTCTTTACCTGAAGCCAAAATAGGAGTCATAATAATGTATTGTATGGTTATAGCTACAAATCTATACTTTGAAAATCATTATAAAGAAAAAAAGGGAAATTTTTGATTGCCGGAGTTCGGAATGCGGGGCACGATTCCAGACTCCATATTATTACTGAAAGTTATTTAAAAACCCGAAAATAATCCAATAATGCTTTGCCCGAACCGGGTATCGAATACGACAACCCAGACTTCTTGCTCTGCGGTCCTTGGTCATGCGACTCGATCAACCGCCCAGTATATTATAAAAAAAAATACTAAAAGGCGTCCTATTATATTATTCTTCGATTCCATATGGCTAAATGGTTATATACAATAAAATAAATAATAGAACTTAGATATAACTCACGAAATCAATATTACTTTACTCTTTCCTCTAAATCATCTGTGGTGTGGGTTTAATTTAGAAAAAAATAAACTGTCATTTTTCGTTAAGATAGACGAGAATTACGGCAAGAAAAATTGGTTACAAAATAAATTGTAAAAACACAGAAAATGTATAACATATATAAACAACATTACATTTTATCTTATAATTTATATACCTCATAGAACTAGATTTCATTATGTATTAAAGTTTTATCGATAGCATATCGATAAGTGAGGCCCACTCTAGATATCTGACGTGGTGCTGTCGACAAGACGACAACAGGGAAAGGCGATAACCAAAAAAATAAAATACTTTTTCTGTAGTTGTTAGAAATATTTACAGAAATCAAAATGTTGGACAGCATATTCGATGATGTGAAGCGCATGAACAAACGGCAGGTAACGTTTCATTGAGAATTAGTAAGTTGTACGTGAATAATTCACCGGCTGTTATTTTACGCTTTTTCCAATTATTTTTCAGTTTATCTACCAAGTTTTAAGTTTTGGTATGATAGTTTCTTCGGCTCTCATGATATGGAAGGGCCTCATGGTAGTCACTGGTAGCGAAAGCCCAATAGTTGTCGTGTTGTCAGGCAGTATGGAACCTGCCTTCCACAGAGGGGATTTATTGTTTTTGACAAATTATCCCGAGGAGCCAGTGCGTGTTGGAGAGATTGTAGTATTCAAAGTGGAGGGACGCGACATTCCAATCGTTCACAGAGTTCTAAAGCTTCATGAAAAGTAAGTATTCTTAAAGTGCATACCTCCATTTAATTTATCATAGATGTCTTAGTTAATGTATGAAAACTTGTTTGTTTACGTCATCTCTTGATTAAACGACCAGATTTTCAACTGTTGCACATTTTTACATTTTATTAGAAGAACATGAGATGGCAGGGTAGTCATCATAAAATTATTGATTTAATAAAATGGCAGTGTTACTGCATTTCATAGACATTAAAATGACCCACAATTTCATAATAAGAATTGTTTTTATATGTTAACTAACCATAGACCTTGTTAATTTTCAGGAACAATGGTACAGTGAAGTTCTTAACTAAAGGTGACAACAACAGTGTGGATGATCGAGGCTTGTATGCTCAAGGACAGCTGTGGCTCACTAAAAAGGATGTAGTCG